GTTGTTTTCGTATTGCCCTCTGCTGGCTACTTCCCATGAACTCGCATTCCCAGTCTTGCCAGGTGTTGCAATGATTGGCCGTTCTGTTTGTAATGCTGCTTTTTGATACAGAGCCTCCCTTCAAACCCCCAGAGTCCCACAAAAATTAAACAGAAACACACCAGATCTAAAACCAAAATGAAACAATACTAAAGTGACAATGGTGTACTAATATAGTACACTACAGATGTTTGCCAAATATTTTTTTAATGAGGAGATATGACCTATTATAGATCAGAAGATTTTCAAAGTACAATACTCAGGTCTGTAGCATCTGCATGGCAGAGAACCTAGCAGAAAGGCAAATTCTGGAATATATCCTTAACCTGCTAAGTTGGAAATGAGTTGTGTTTGGCATCCAGGTGATTCTGATATGGTCTGATTATTGAAAAATCAATTATCTAGATTTAAGGTTCTCAACATTAGGGTATCACTTTTGTCAAAAGTTTATGCAAAAAAAGTTGTATGCAAGTATAATTTAAAATCTATTTATTACCTACAGTCCTCTGAGCTGGCTATCTGGGTGGTTGGAGCAAGCTCATATTACTACCAGCACTAAGCAAGGCCTTGGTTAACATGTATCACCAAGCTTAGTATAGTCTATGTTTAGTGGTTATTAAATGAATTCATGTTGCATGCTAGAGTCATTCATATCTTCTTTCTGCCTCCATTTGGGGGATGACACTATTTAGGTGTCCTTCACTGCTATATTATGTCACACCAAAACTGAAAGGAGCACAGACCTTACCTAGAAGGTTGATCAGCTGACTCATAAATCTCAGATCAAATCAAGTATCAGGTTTTCACATTTAACTCCATTCCATACTTTTCAGAACAGTAAAAGAAAAATTAACACTAGAAAAAAGATGACCAAAAGTCTCAATGACTATCTCCTGCTCCTAGGAAGATATCAAATGACTTCTGTTGCTCAGAGTCCCTCTCCCAGATACCAATGTGAGGTAAGGGACTATACAAAGGGGTGCCCATTTGTCTCTCCATTTTCTAGCATTCATATCTTATACAGGCCGTATGGTTTTAAATTTGAAGTACCTCATAAACAGATCTTGCCATCAAAAGCAGTTTGAAGAAATATACAGATCCATCAAAATACTTGCATTAATAAAGCCTTATGGATTTATACAATGCCAAGAGAAGTCTTCAAAGGCAGAAGTGCATATCAACCCTATTTCTTCTGACTCATTTCCTCTAGAGAAGATGCTTGGAATAATTCAGGCAAAATGCCATGAAATAATTTCATTGGTAACAGGGACCTGGTAGAAAAGTGGGAGAGGGAATTGCTAAATTAAACTTTACTTATAGGGTTTTCTTAGAGTCATGTGGCTTTTTTTTTCTTTTCACTTAGAAAAGTGGGGGGGCCGTTTTTTTTGGGGGGGGTGTCAGACCTAGGGCCTGAACTCAGGGTCTGGGTGCTGTCCTTGAGCTTCTTTTCACTTGAGCCACAATGCCACTATCAGCTCTTCTGAATAGTGTATTGGAGAGATAAGAGTCTCATGGACTCCCAGCTAGCTTCAAACCTTGCCTCAGATTTCAGCTTCCAGAGCAGCTAGGATTATCAGCATGAGGCATAAATGCCCAGCAAAATCTACTTTCTTAAACTTTTACTTAAAGAAAAATATTTGAGGTTAATACTTTTACATACTAATTAGAACACTCATAATCATATTTTTACTTACCAAAAAGAACTCTACACAGTATATAAAAATTTATATTCATATATTTATCTATATATGCTCCAAAAATTTTGGTTTTGAGTAATTTCTGTCAAATAATCTGATCGATTTAAACCCACCTCTTAGCTGTAGTTAGTTAAAAGTCTTGTATGTTCATGAAGGACCTGGGCTCCACTGTGGACACTCCATTAGCCTCTATATGAAATGTTTCCCCTGTATGTATTCCTGACAAAAACAAACTTAACTGTTTAAAAAACAATCCAAGCAAATACTGTGTACTGCTTCACAAGATGGTTATCTATCACTGGGCCCAAAATCATTTTAAATTCATATATACTTCTTTAAAAGTTTGTATATCTGGAAGCTACTAAGGAACTCACTGGCTTAAGGGTTGGAGATTTCATTCTGTGGTAAAATATTTGTTAGACATGTGTGAGGTCCTGGATTCAATCCTCAGCATAGGAAGAGGGGAGGAAAAAATCTGACTTACAAAGGCAAAAAACCCTCAAAGATCTGACCATTGCTATATGAATTCTACTTCAAGGTAATCAAATAGTTGGTGATATTTCCTTTTATATATACATGTAAGCTAATAATTAAAAAAAGAAACCAGAACATTGGCTCAAACTTGTAATCCTAGCTACTTGGGAGGTAGTGATGGAGGGATTTTTGGCTTGAGGGCAGCCTGCACAAAAATAAGTATAAGACTCCATCCTAACCAATGGCTGGACATGGTGATAGGCACTTGCGATCCTCAGCTACAAATAAATGGATAGATCATTAAAGAGGGGAAGTGGCTGGAAGTGTGGCTCAAGTAGTAGACCATCTGTTTAGTAAGAGTGAGACCTTGAGTTCAATCCCCAGCCAAAAATAAATTAATTAAAAAAGGAAAAATGCATTAGGATACCACCATTCTGTAATCTCTATGATATAACCTGTCTAGGTAATACCTACAAGAAAAGCACATATCCTCAGTTATAGCTAGATATTTACACACCTATTATTCATAGAGCAATCTGACCCAAAAAAATCAGTGGCACAGAAAAACTGAAATTGTTATCATCCAACCATAAAAATTTGGGAAAAAAAGAACCACAATAATTCTCAAATAGGAAGCACAGTATGTTGGCTAGGCATTTCTCTGCCTCTTCTCCCTCATAAACTAGTTCTTTAAGGACACTGTAAACTCCAATGATTAAGCAGAGATTTGCCACAGACTTGAAGAGAATAAAGTATCAAGTTTAGTCAAGTTTAAGGGAAGAGTGGCTCATCTTTTATTTACACATCTTTCAACTCCAGTAAGTTTGCAAAGGTTTTTTCACATGCATGAGTTCTTCATAGCCTTACAATATCTTCTGAAAAAGACAATCCATGTTATTTTCATTCCCATTTTCCAGAAGAGTTGAGTGCAGAGGCTGACTTGCCAAAGAAACAGAACACAAGTTGGCTACATTAAAAGAGTAGACACATTTGAATATCATTCATGTGAATCCACTGGGAGAGTAATGAAGCAATGCCTAGTTTTTCTGGAAGGCAAATCTTCCCCAATATGTCCAAGCATACAAAGCAATTATTTAAAAAAAAAAGAAAAGAAAAAGAAAAAAAGGACACTCCTCAGTTAAAAATTAGGCTTTATTTCTACACTCCCCAAAATGACATTGTCAGACACCAGGTCGGACTCAAGAGCACAAAGCTATAAAAGTTGACCACATTCCCAGTTACCCTTAAAAAAATAAGGTTATGGTTAAGAAACAAATTTCAAAGTAAACAGTCCACAGAAAATATGGAGATTTACTCTTCCAGTTAGCAAAACAGACGTGGCAGATCATCCCACTAATATATTTAGGGAATTAAATTTTAGGAATAAAAATAATGTCATTTCTTGCCTTGAACCAACCATCCATAGATGGTTGGTACATGTGTGTGTGAAGAAACCCTTATTGGCAATTTTAAGAAATGATTGAAGTATCAATATTTAATCTTCAAAGATTTCTTCACTAGTCCATGGCAGATACAGTGATTTATGAACTTGTCTTAGATTTTCTTAATATTCATAAAATCTGCTTCCTGTTCTTCATAAATTTCTTTTGTGCTTGTTTTAAAATATACTTTAAATATGAGTCATATACATATAATTTTGTGTGTGTGTATATATATATATATATATATGGTCACTTATTGAAGTACTATATATGTTTTATTTACATCTTTCCGTGACCCACTGAAACAAACGTTCTTTTAGATACATAGGGGCCATGTCATTAAGGCTCGTCATATCACTAATAGTGGTTTTATCTAGGAAAAAGATGCATGCACATCGAAGAATACTTTTTCAAGTTCTTGGAAACACACAACTTTGTATCACCTTCTTATATTAGGTTGATATTGTAAAATCTGTTCATATTTTAATACAACCTGAGTGAATAAAATGCAGAGTAAAATCACTGTTTTCTATTTAAAACAAACTAAATCTTAAAAGTCATATTGAAGGGTTTGGGGGAAGGGGCAAATGGAGAGAGAATAGCAAAGAAAACAAGAGTACTCTCGAGAAAACAAGCCAGTTGGTTCTTCTAGAGGGCAGTCCAGAGTAGGAAGCAGGCCTCCTAGGAAGAATCAAAGTGGCTCTCCAGCTCAGCTGATGTTGCTGTCATGCTTGCTGTGGACACCCGGTAGAACAGGGACTCCGAATAGTTGTGAGAAACAAGACTGCTATTACATTTTGCAAAAGCTTTGAAGGAGCTACCAAGCACTAGCAGCTCAATTTTTCCTTGTGGCATCTTTTAACCTAGCATAATGGTGACCACTGCCCACTATGCCTTCACTGATCCACCCTTTGCCCAGGCACATCCGCTGAAGAAATACAAGCACTACCTCTAAACATAGTTTGTCGGAAGCAGGCAAGACACCCAAATTTAGATGTACTTTAGTACTACTGAGTTGATTATTCTACTATGATGATCTCTTTGTAGTTGAGCAAAATTGATTTTTAGAAAGTGTAAGGTTAACAAGACCTTCATTTTCATTTTATGAAAAGAGCTTATGTTATATGAGAATCTGTGGCTAAAAAAGACAATAGCTGGACACCTGTAATCCTAGCTACTCAGGAGGCTGAGATCTGAGAATCATGGTTCAAAGACAGCCCAGGCAGGAAAGTCATGAGACTCTTATGTCCAATTAACCACCAGAAAACCAGAAGTGGCGCTGTGGCTCAAAGTGGTATAGCACTTGCCTTGAGCAAAAAAGCATAGGGACAGTGTCCAGGCCCTGAGTTCAAGCCCCATAACCAACAAAAAAAGAAGGAGGAGGAGGAAGAAGAAGACTGTATGCTTTCTAAGCCCAAAGTGGAGTAAAATATGAATACAAGTTTCAACATTAAAGTGATAAAAGTCAGGTACAGAATACACTGAAGAAAAAAGAAACCCCACAAGATGCCTTATGCTGACTTTAAATCAATGAAAAATTCAAACTTTATGAAGGTAAAAATCAGGTCAGATAGGCATGCAGGTAACACAAAAAGAACCCAAGGCTACTACAGTCACTATGAGTCTTCTGAACTGGTAAAGCTGCTGTTATGCTACCAGTCTGATTCACCTTCAACTTCAAACTTCTTATCAATCCTACTTGGGCACCAAAAATACGAATTTGCAGGCCAGAATTATAAAGCAAGAAGTTCTATCTTAATTTGCTAATTTATGAGACAGAAACTACTCATTTATCCCAATTATTTTTCCACAAAGCAGGAGAGGAAAGATGACTGGAAGTGCATTAGAACACAATGTTTATAATAACTATGGCAAGAAAAATTAAAGGGCAATAAATATTCATTTGACACAAAATACAATACTGAAACTACATCACTGTACTATGGAGATACACAGTAGCCTAAGATTAGTTCCTAGATTACTCTTTGGATATTTCATTCGATTGGCCTTAATTGCTTATAAAGTGTCCAGCGCAATCAGGGAGGGTTTGTATTTAGCTCTCAAAGAAGCAGGAACAGAGGTAAATTCCACTGTTGATCATCAGAGTAACTAAAAACACAACTTCAAGTCTTGAAAATCTTTCATTCAAATCACCTGTTAACCTTTGGATCCAGGTTTCAGACTTGCAAAAACTTTGGGGTTCTTAAGAGCAAGTGAGAGCTCATTGAGGAAGGAAATAAAATGGGAGTCCCTCTCAGATTTTTTTGACTCAAATATGGCAACGATGGTAAAGTGGGGTTCTGGGCGGGTCAGGAAGTAAGTGCTCTGGACTTTGTCGTCATAGAAGTGCACCACTTTCTCCAAGCTGTTCAGGTCAGATGTGCGGTCTGTCATGATCATGATGACATTGGGCCAGTGCATGACCGGCCTGTCACTGGGCAAAGACACCACAGCGGGATACTGGTCCACACCCTTAGGGGCTTCTCTATAGGAATGGGGGTGGTGATAGCCATGACCCTGAAAGGTCTCTGAACCTCGGTTGTCAAAAATTAAGGACACGTTGGCAGCATCGTATTTCCTGATGAAGCTTGAAATCTTTCCGAAAAGGTCTGGGTTAGCTTTCGCAGTCAAAGCTTTCATTTCTGAAGCAGTCGTTTGTCGGCTGAGTGCCTCATGAAAGTAAAAGCTAAACTTGGCCAAGAGCATGTTTTTGAGTTTCATTAGCCAAAGGAAAAGATGTGGAGGCTGCACAGCCTTCTGAGACTGACCTCCAAATAGATGTTTTTTGGTCTCCCTCTGCTTTTCAAAGATCTGGCCCCAGGTCTGTAGCTTGGTATGAGCACTATGCAAATTAACCAGAGATGGGAGGAATTTCCACTCTGAGATCTGGGCCTGGGCCTTCAGGAGATGACTCAAGACATCAACTTCCAGCTGGAAACTGCTTTCCAAGGGACTGAGGATTGGATGATGAAATCTAAATGGAGGAGGGAAATTAGGAAAAATGAATAGAAATGCCATTTAACATCAACAGTTTCTACCTTGAATAAAACATAGCCATAATAATTATACATGTGAGAGCAAGGAATGGAAAGATGGAAGAAAGATGTTATTTTAAAATACTGATATAATTTCAATATTTCAGAATTTTGTCAATATCATATTCTCCTATGAAAATAGCCTGGCATATTAAAAAAAACACCCAGAATAATGACTACCTTCTATTCAAATACAGAAAAATTGAGCAGGGCAAAATGGCTCATATCTGTAATCCCAGCTAATCAGGAAGGCAGAGATCAGGAAGACTGTGGTTCAATGCCAATCATGACAAAAAATTAGCCCATTTCAACCAAACAGCCAGGTATGGTGCTTCCTACCTGTGATCTCAACTACATAGGAAGTGCATAAAGCAGAATCATAGTCTGAGGTAGATCTTGGTAAAAGCATATCTGAAAAACAGGGGTTGTGGCTCCAGTGGCAGGGCACCTGGCTAGCAAGCATGAGGTCAAGTTCAAACACCAATACTACCAAAACCAAACAAACTCACGAAAATTAAATTAGCTATAATTCTTCCTACTATTATTTTGGGAATTGCATAAGTAACATTATCATCAAAACAAGAAATCTTTTCAGAGTGTGATCCTAAAGAGATAGAAGGAGCTGGGCGCCGGTGGCTCACCCCTGTAATCCTAGCTACTCAGGAGCCTGAGATCTGAGGATCACAGTTCAAAGCCAGCCCGGGCAGAAAAGTTCGTGAGACTCTGATCTCTAATAAACCACTAGAAAACTGGAAGTGGCGCTGTGGCTCAAGAGGTAGAGCGCTTGCCTTGAGCTGAAGAGCACAAGGACAGCACCCAAAGCCCAGAGTTAAAGCCCCACAACTTACCAAAAAAAAAAAAAAAAGTAAAAGAAAAAGTCACTAATATAGGTGTTGAGTGCTTACATAAGCAGATAAACTCATTTACAGCTCATATAACTTCAGGTGGTATTATTTAACCTGTGTTGTAGATCAAACACTACAAACCTATGTCTGAAACATAGTAGACAATCCAGTATGTTCGAGAAAATACATTTACCATGCAGCTCTTATTCTAGCTCCAAATTCTCTTCATATCTGATCATGATTAAAAAACAGGCAACAGGGCTGGGAAGGTGGCTCAGTGGTAGAGCGCTTGCCTTGCAGGCATGAGGCCCTGGGTTCGATTCCTCAGCACCACATAAGCAAAAAGAAAAAAG